GAAAAATGAAAGAAAATTGAATAGATGGACCAGCTAACTGGTCTGAAATACAACTGAAATACAACTGAAATACAAATTACTTTGTTTTCCCCTAGAATTTAAACTATGAGGTGCTTTATAGTCCATAAACTAAGCAGGCAGTGAGACTTCTGTTCTTGAAGAGGGAGGATGGCCCACTTGGGCAGGGCTTAGTGTAATGTCTCTGTTCCTCACTAGATGGTGGTGCTTAGCTTACTGGGGTGGATTGTTGTGGTGCTTGTGGGTGTGTATGCACATGTGCAGGAGTGGTGAAAATGGCGTCACCCAGCTACTCAGTCTCTAGTATTGGAACTCTGTTCTCCCTGATCAGCAATTGTGCACCTGTCCTTTGTCTTCAGCTTCTATCCACTCCCCGCTTTTACACAGTCCATGACCAAGCTCCAGGCAGCACCTCCCTCCTGAGTTTTGTCTCAGATGTGGCTGTTTTTCCTGACCCCTTACTTCTGAGGGACTGCAACTTTGAGCCATTCTGCCCCTCTGTGGAGGGTATCCCTGAGCGATGGCTGGGTGCTGGCTGCATCCAGGAATGTTCACAGGACTGTGCTGCTGCCGTTGCCCAGAGACTGCAGCCAGGTGCCAACCCGCCCCAGAAAAATTTTGCGAGATAGTGTAGCAGCAGCATTTCAGGGATTATGGAAAATCACAACGCACATCTGGCACTAGACTTCACCCTTAATGACCTTGTTCCAGCACCAATGAATGTGGTTGTTCTCTGGGGTCTGCTGGGACCAGGTGGCCTCATAACTTCTACCAAACATCCTTCCAACAGTGGAACTGCTTCTCCCTGTGCGGCCAAAGAATCTCCTGGACCCCACTCTGCTCCTGGGGATTTGCCCTTCCCACCAGAGCACCAGCAGGTATCGAGCTGTGGAGTTTCAGACTCTGCGCTCTCCCTTTTATAGTCTTAATGGAATTTAAACCCTCTCCTTTCTTCTTGGTCCTTTCTCCTTTCCCCCTTTTTAGTTCATTCCTTGTCGCTGTTTCCACTTTCTCTCTAGCTGCTTTTGGGGAGGGGTGCTTTTCCCATATTCTCCCCCCTCTCCGTCCTCTGTCTGCATGCAAAAGTGGCTCCCTGCCCTCCGTGGCGTCTCTCTCCCCATGTTCACCTCTCCATGCCTTGTACCTGCTGAATTCTGTGGTTCAGGTTGTGCAGATTGTTGTGTTAATCCTCAGATCAGTTTTCTAGATGTGCAGGATGGTTTAGTGTTTTCTGGCTGTATTTCAAGGACGCAAGACACACAAAAAACTTCCATGCTGTTCTGCCATCTTGGCTCCTCCCTCCCTTATCTTTTTTTAAAACTGAAGTATTATTTACAAGAAGTCCACACATTTCAAATGTACAATCTGATTAATTTAAACATGTGCACACACCCTTATAAAGTTCAAAATATAGAACATTTCTATCATTTGAATAGTTTTCTGTGTGTGTCCTGCCAGTCAACCCAGTACCTGCCCAACCCAAAGTAAATACTATTCTAATCCTTCTTTTATGAACTTTCATTTCTTCTTTTCCTGTCCTCATATACATGCAAATTTCTTTGTTGATTAGCACAACAAAAGACTCCCTATTTCTGGGAGACTCTACTGCCTAGGTACAGGATGTGGATTTACCCTTGTCTTGAGAATTTTGTGGCATATAACCTTACCAAAGTACAGGGCAAGATCATAACATTTACATACAGACTATGTAAGTGCAATAATTGGAAGGCTGTTTTCTCAGAAGAGTGAGTAAATAAACAATAAGAAGAGAACCAGCAATATCACACCTACAAAAAAAAGCATAAGAGAAAACAGACAGAAAGTTAAAATTTGTGATTTTTTACAATCTAAGAAGGTTTAGTGATATCAAAGGAAAAGATTTAATTCTAGTAATATATGTTTTTTCTCTTTTAGAAGGACTTTTCTTTTCCTCTGATAAAGAGAGGCATTTAATACCTCCATAATTACAGAATTGGCATTGGTCCAGACCTGGACTCAGGACTGAGCTCTGGGATGTTCCATAATTGGGAAAATAAACTGGTTCATGGGGGAGAACATGGATTTGGACATGGAGTGGGCCATGATGTGGACCATGAATTGAGCCACACCTATGACAGTGGTTATGTAATGAATCACGGCAGAAGTCATGGACATGGAGGAGGCCATAACAAGAGCCATGAAATGGATCACAGAGGAGGAAGACAAGGAAGCCATGGATGACAAGGGGAGTATGGACAAAGACTGAACAATGGAAGATATTCTAGGAAAGAAAATATTGGGGAAAAAAGCAATCATGAAAAAGAAGGCAGTGACGATAAAATGGGTCAGGACGTATTTTCAAAAAGTCTTCAGGAAATTGGCCTTTGAGATGGTCATGAGCAAGGTCAAGAAAAAGAACCAGAGAAAAGATCACAAAGAGCTTAACCAACAGGCCAGCCAGAAAAATAGAGAAAGATTCTAGAGGAGACCTGCAGCTTTCTCTAGTTTACATGTGAGCTCAAGTGAAAATATTCCCTGGGCTTAACCATAGTTCAGAAACTCTTAGGAGGTCACAATCTCTGAACAATTTCTCTTTGATCTCCTGATGAGCAAGTGATAATAATCTATGCGCTTTCAGCTTTGGATTTCTACTTTTGTTTCCTTGGGATGCAATGCAACCAGTAAGAGAAAGAATAGTATTATTATGGCTTAAAAAAACAAAACAAAACAAAACCTCGAGGCACCTGCGTGGCTCAGTTGATTAAACGTCTCTTTTTTTAATTTTATTTTTTATTTTTTAAAATTTACATCCATGGGGCGCCTGGGTGGCGCAGTCGGTTAAGCGTCCGACTTCAGCCAGGTCACGATCTCGCGGTCCGGGAGTTCGAGCCCCGCGTCAGGCTCTGGGCTGATGGCTCAGAGCCTGGAGCCTGTTTCCGATTCTGTGTCTCCCTCTCTCTCTGCCCCTCCCCCGTTCATGCTCTGTCTCTCTCTGTCCCAAAAATAAATAAACGTTTAAAATTTACATCCAAATTAGCATATAGTGCAACAATGATTTCAGGAATAGATTCCTTAATGCCCCTTACCCATTTAGCCCAACCCCCCTCCCACAACCCCTCCAGTAACCCTCAGTTTGTTCTCCATATTTATGAGTTTCTTCTGTTTTGTCCCCCTCCCTGTTTTTATATTATTTTTGTTTTCCTTCACTTATGTTCATCTGTTTTGTGTCTTAGAGTCCTCATATGAGTGAAGTCATATTATTTTTGTCTCTCTCTGACTGACTAATTTCACTTAGCATAACTACGTGGATGGAACTGGAGGGTATTATGCTAAATGAAAGTGTCTATTTCAGCTCAGGTCATGATCTCACAGTTCCTGGGATTGAGTCCCATTTCGGGCACCATGATGACAGCATGAAGCCTGCTTGGGAGTCTCTTTCTCCCCTACATCTCTCTCTGCCCCTCCCCACTCATGCTCTCTCAAAAACAAACATTAAAAAAAATACCTCATAATATTTGTGGTAGCCAGATCAGTTGTTTGCTGTTTGGACATTCTTTCCCCCTTTCTCCTTTGTTACTGAGTGCTTACTACGTGCTAAGCATTGTACTGACTTTAAATGCATTATCATATATGATTGTGAAATTTGTAATCTCAAAACAATCTTTTGAAAACTTCCACTTTTCTGGGAATATAGTGAATAAAGTATGTTAACCACTCCTCTTAACAAAAGCAACAAAAATTGCCAGTTAATATAGAAAAAAATATTTGTAGCTCTATCAATTAGGTAGATGGTAGTATTTAGATCAACAATGGAGAGAAAGCAGAGACTGACAGAGGCTCAAAGAGAGCTCTGAACCAGCCTTTGCATTGAGGGTATCTGCCAAATCTGGTTAACATAAATTTATCTTCTCACAGCTTCTTAGCAGGTAGGGTACAGGAGACAAAGTCCAAGGCCTGAACAAAGAGTGGAGTCTAATAGGAGACCCTAAATAAAGCTGAGATATTAATGGTTAAAGCCTAGAATATGGTTAAACTAGAATAAAAGGACCTTGCCCATGGTGCACACTGGGGACTGAGAAGAATGTCTACCTTGAAATTGAACATTGAGTAGAGGGGCAGGGGTGAAAAATCTCCCCAGAGGATTTGTAATCGCATGGCATTCTTCATTTGTTTTTGTTTTTGTTTTTTCTAAGTCGGAGGAAGGTAAATCTATTGAATCATTTTGTAATAAAAGCAAACATTTAAAAAACACTAATAGCAATATGTCTCAGAGGAAAATGGCAGTCCTTTCATTGTATGCTTAAACCAGCAGCCTAAGAGGACAGAAACAACACAGGTTAAAACCTACTGTTGAGTTAATTTCTAAGACTTCCACCAAAAAAAAAAAAAAAATGAAAAAATAAAAATAAAAACACCTATCATACTAGATGCTGAAAGCAAGGTTTTCACACCAGAGACCTCTCCTTCATTGAAAAATGAGATCATATCGAGGATATCTTGGCAAAACTATGTCAGTTGATCTTATGTCATTGACTCCAGCTGTGGAAATGGTTTTTGTGGCTGGTTGCAGAGGCAGATTCCAAAAGCAGTGGGAAGTCACTCTCTATATCAGGGTTGAATCCCGACCATGGAGTTGACTGGTGAAAGGTACACAAGAGGCATTCTTTTTTTTTTTTAATATGAAATTTATTGTCAAATTGTTTTCCATATAACACCCAGTGCTCATCCCAACAGGTGCCTTCCTCAATGCCCATCACCCACCCTCCACTCCCTCCCATCCCCCATCAACCCTCAGTTTGTTCTCGGTTTTTAAGAGTCTCTTATGTTTTGGCTCCCTCCGTCTCTAACATTTTTTCCCCCTCCCTCATGGCACAAGAGGCATTCTGCAAGCAGCTGCTAGCAGCCTGATCTTCACTGAACTGATGTCATTCCTTCCTTCCTTTTTAATTTTATTTTAGAGACAGAGAGAGTGAGTGTGAGTCAGAGGAGGGGTAGAGAGAGAGGGAGAAGGAGAGAGACTCTTAAGCAGGCTCCAGGCCCAGTGCAAAGCCTAACTCCAGGCTTGATCTATCCACTTTGAGATCATGACCTGAGCCGAAATCAAGTCAGACACTTAACTGAGGCACGCAGGCCCCCCAACTCTCTCTCTTTCTCCCTCCCTCCCTCCCTCCCTTCTTTCCTCCCTCCCTCTTTCTTTCTTCCCTCTCTCTTTCTTTTTCTTTCTTTCTTAGTTGAGGTATAATTGACATAGAACATGATAGTGGTTTCAGGTGTACAAAATAATGATCTGATATTTGTATACGTTGAGAGATGATCACCACAATAAGTGTAGTTAATATCTGTCTAGATTTGTAGCTTCAACATCATGAAAACTAGGTGACAGGAAACCATCTTAGAGCCACCTATTATTTTCCAGGTCTCCTTCATCTTTGGGAAGATTCTTCTTCTCTACTTCTTTGTCTCTTCCAAATGCCATGTGACAAGTAAGGAGAAAATCACTGGGATGTGCTACAAATTAAAATCCTAAAATACGCTGGCTACTACATATATGTTTTTATGTTTTCCTTTTTGTTTTTCCTGTGTCCTTTATAATTTCATGCTTACTATGTGCCAAACACCATCCTAGTGCCTTTAAATACACTATCATTTATTTCTCAAAAAAAATCCAGTGAAAACTTAAATTTCTGTTTCTGTAATGGACTAAGTGTGTTGACTTAAAATACCTTGAAGAACTTAAAATGGTGGACTAAAAATCATCTTAAATGAATCAGTGAGTTGGCGGGAAAGTAAGGAATGCTAGAATTAAAGGCTAAGCTAAGGTAGGAACCCAAGAAGGTAAGAGGAGCACTGAAGCCAACGTTAGCCAAACCCAGTGAACTTTTCTGGTAGCACAGCCTCAGTCCGACTGACTAGCCCAGGTGAGGACTCTCACAGTAGACCCTCACATAAGCCTGCAACCTTCAGGGAGTGTAAGCTAAAAATAAACCCACTCTTCCTCTCAGGAAATGCAAACAAAATTGCCTATCTCTAAACTTGGCATGGGGGAAGTATCTCTGGAGAAATAACTTGTAACCACATACTTTACATGGCTTGTAGTTCCAAATCATGGGTTATTCAAAAGACTTGAAGCCTACAATTTAATTTGGCCAAAACATGCAAATTCTCTATGGAAGGTCAAGCCCTCATCTTAGGCTTCAAAGTACTTCTACAGATACCTTTGCAAGAAAAACAAATTCAGTCATAAATCTCAAGTACAACGATCTCAGAAACCATCAGTGAAAGCCAGCAAGAAACAAAACACAAAATAGACAGCAAGATCAGATCCACAAAAACTAAAGGTATTAGAATTCATAAATACAGAATATAAAGCTAGTGGGTTTATTCACACTGGTCAGAATGGCTAAAATGAACAAATCAGGAAACTATAGATGCTGGCAAGGATGTGGACAAATGGGAACCCTCTTGCACTGTTGGTGGGAACACAAACTGGTGCAGTCACTCTGGAAAACGGTGTGGAGGTTCCTCAAAAAATTAAAAATAGAGCTGCCCTATGACCCAGCAATAGCACTGCTAGGAATTTACCCAAGGGATACAGGAATGCTGATGCACAGGGGCACATGTACCCCAATGTTTATAGCAGCACTTTCAACAATAGCCAAGTTGTGGAAAGAGCCTAAATATCCATCAACTGATGAATGAATAAAGAAGATGTGGTTTATATATAAATGAAATATTACCTGGCAATGAAAAAGAATGAAATCATGCCATTTGCAGCAACATGGATGAAACTGGAGGGTATTATGCTAAGTACAAGTCAGTCAGAGAAAGACAGATATCATATGTTTTCACTCATATGTGGATCTTGAGAAACTTAACAGAAGACCATGGGGGAAGAAAGGGGGAGAAAATAGTTACAAACAGGGAGAGAGGCAAACCATAAGAGACTCTTAAATACAGAGAACAAACTGAAGGTTGATGGGGGAGTGGGGAGAAGGGAAAGTGGGTGATGGGCATTGAGGAGGGCACTTGTTGGGATGAGCATTGGGTGTTGAATGCAAGCCAATTTGACAATAAATTATATTAAAAAAACAAAACAAACAAAACAGAATGAAAGTTCCAGGAATACAGAAACTATATAAAATAAATAAATAAAAATAAAGTAGGTAGGTTTAAATGTATGTCATGGCTTTATGGTTGTCCACTAATATTCATTCTCCATCTTTAATGATAATATTCTCAAGTTTTAGTTGATCACAAGCCCACTCTGCTAGTCACTATATTCTCCAGTCTCTCTTTCAGCTTACTTTAGATGTATGACTATGTTTGGCTGGAGGTGTGTAAACAACAATAATCTCTGATGAAGTTAAAAATTAAGACAGATCTAAAAGACTTGGTAACATTAGGATATGAGTTGGGAACTGGGTAATAGAATTCCAAGATTCTTCTATTGTTTTGAAAGAGACTAAAGACACTAATTATATATATATTCTGATAAGTATGCATGCAAAAAAAATTTTAGGATTATGTCTAAGGGGTGGAATCTGGACTTGAATTCAGGACCTTTGCCTCCAAATAAGTCTAGAGGGGAAAGAAAAGGAATTCTTAGAGTGCTATTGGCCTCTCAGCCATAGAATGGGATTATGGGATTGCTAGGTGTCTAGAGCCTTCCCTGTTATTGAGCAATTCCTCACACTTCAGCCTCAGGAACTGCCCATCCCAGCTGCTAGGTTGATCTGCATCAGCCTTTTCCAGCCCACTTTGTCCCCTCTTGACTCCTTCACATCTTCAGCCACCTCCTGCTTCTTTCAAACAGGTCTTATGTGTCAGGGATATTTGTTCACCTACAAATAAACTGAGATGTTGCTTCTTCCACAAAGTTTCTCATTAATGGGAATGAAGGGTGCCTGGGTGGCTCAGTCAGTTAAGCGTCCAAATTTGGCTTAGGTCATGATCTCATGGTTCGTGGGTTTGAGCCCCACAACGTACTCTGTGATGACAGCTCAGAGCCTGGAGCCTGCTTCAGGTTCTGCATCTCCCTCTTTATTTGCCCCTCCCCTGCTCATTCTCTTTATTTTTAAAAATAAAAATAAAAATAAAATAAAATGGGAATGAAGACAGCTGACTTGGTCACACAGACTGTGCGCTGAAACTCCCATCAATCCATCTCCTTCACCTTGGCCACAAGATGCCTTTCCCATGAACCCCCAAAACTCTCTGCTTATTTGGGTCTGTTCAGTCCTATTCATTTAGGGGACTGTGTGTCCTTTGCTGTTACATCTGTGTTCAGACGAATATGAAGTTTCTAGAGAATTTGGACTATATATCTCACTCCCTCAACAGACTTGAAGTCTCCTAATTGGTGTTTGTGGTATATCCTACTGAGAGATACTTCATTAGGCTAAGGAGAAGGAACATCTGAAGGATTCCAGGGCAGAGAAAATCCTACAGATTCCTCTGAAAACAAACAAGAGGGGAACTTCTATGGTGGAGGATCAGAGAGGGAAATTATACCACCCCTTCACCTGCTATGAGCCTGATGAGGGGCTTGTTCTGCACATTTTACACTCTTCATGCCCTCAGCCTTAATGATCCAGAGACCCCAAATATGGCTTCATCAGCCCCTGGATCTCTCTTTCCCTGTTCATTCAGTGTGCACAGTTGAGTGCTTACTGCATACCCAGTAATGCTCCATCTGTCTTCTGTCTTTAACCCAGAAGCCCAGATACCTAGTTCCTGCTAGGTCTCATATTTGAGTCTCATATTTCCATTTGATTCAGAAATTTGGGGTACCACCCCCTTAGCTCACTTCATTAGGGCTATTTCCTTGCCAAAGCAGACACACAGAACTTCTTGGCCAGGAAACAAAGTCTTGCAGTAGAACAGGTTTCTGGCCCCATCTCTGCCTTAGAGGGTAGGTCCCTTCCACTCTGACAAACTTAATCACTTTATATTAGTCTACTTCCTGCTATGACCCAGCCAGTCCAGTGCCCTGCCTAGTGTGATCATGTCATTCTCCTTTCTCACCTTCCTCTTGACCCCTAGTCTATTCCTTCCCAGGCTCAGTATTGTTTAATTTCTCACAGTTGGCAGAGGAATAAGTCATCTTTCCTACTCCTCCCCAACACATAAGAAACTATAAAGGTCCTTGAAGCTCATCCACAATAAAGAAAGAGGCAAGAACATTGCATGGAAGAAGCTTAAGGAACCCAAGCATCCAGTCTTCTGCCCACTAGGCTCAAAGTTCTTCCAAAGAACAAGTACTTAAGAGACCCAAGTTTCTGGAAACTCTAGCTTTTACCTCTTCACCTTGAACTCTCCTTTCTCAAGAATCCTGTTCTTTGCCTTCTAGATCTTGGCCACAACTGGGATTTGGGTATCTTACCTTCCAACCACAACAAGACAGATCAAGATGTACAAAGGACACATTATCCTTAAGTGTTGGCTACTATTGCATCTCCTACTTTTAGAAACTGGTAAGTGATTTCTTTTAAAAGTGGGTGATCTGAGAACCTTTTAGGTGTTTTGGGAGAGGCTGACCACTGCTAGGACTAGCTATGGTTCTCTTCCATAGAATGAGGATCAATTGTTTTACCCCAATCACTTCAATATAATTAGGTATCACCCAGGAGGCAGTTAGAACCCAGGGATTAAAACTGTAGACTCTGGTCTCAGATTACCTGTGTGTAGATCATGGCTCCAATGTTACCTGTGTACTTTGGGTGAGTCATTTAACTTCTCTGTGCCTCCACTTCTGCATTTATAAAATGGTAATAATCTGTGGGTGGCTGGGGAGTTAAATACTAAGAACAGGAAGAGTTAACTGTTGTGTCATTCCTAGTCTTGGTCATCTCAGTTTCTTTTAAGTTTTACTCAAGATTCTGATCTTAACCCCAATTTGTACCATATTGCTGATATGGGGGAGGGGCTTCCCCCCATAAAAGTCTAATCCTATGTTAGTTCAAATAAACCTGAGGAAAAAATACACATGTGTGGAATGAGGTGATAGGTACCCATGTTCCAGTTAGTGGTAAATGAGTCACAGATTAATTTTGGTTATCTGGAAGAGGTTGTGTATCTTTGTCCTTCAGTGTTGTGAGTGGAAAGAAATAAACACAACTTTAACTCAGTCGGTTTACCCAAGGTTGAAAAGATGTGCTATACATTATAGCCATTAATCCTGGGAGATCTTATATGTTTAAACTACATATAACATATTCTTCTCCAGCCTCTGGTATAGAGATCAGGAATCCCTGGAAATTTAATGCATATGGAATCACCCAACCCCTCATTGAAAGGTCCCATCTCAAACTCTGATTCATTTAATCTGGAGTGGTATGCCTAGGAATCTTTATTATTAACAAGCTACTCAGACAATTTTGATGTAGATATTTTCTGAATAACACTAAAAAATATTTTCTAGGAAAGGAGCAATACTATTTTAAATGAATTAATATATACTAGTTTCACCTGGCTTTTGCAATTCCTTTATAATACTTCTTATCTGTATTGGATCTTATATAGCAGCATATGGAATAAGCTTACTGCCAGTGAAACTAGGTTATGTAATCTTGGTGTTGGGGATGGGTGGGGAGGGCAATTTAGCATTGTGGCTGAAAGTGCAGATCCAATAGCCTGGGTACAAATTCCTGCTCTACTACTCTGTATAAACATGAGCAAATGTCAACATTTCTAAGCCTCAATTTCTTCTTCTTAGCTGTTGATAACAATAGTATCTAGTTCATAGGGCTGTTAGTGAGCATCAAAGAGAATTATCCATGTAATGAATTTAACCAAGCATTGAGCAGAAAGTATTTATGCTCAATGTATATGTTTGTCATCATTTATTATTATCAGCAGGTGTAACACCCAGTGCGTTTAGCACATCAGGCACAACTTCTGGTGGGACCAGTATAACCTCCAGCACTAAATCCAGCACAGCCTCTGGTGGAACCAATACAATCTCCAACACTGGATCTAGTGTGATTTCTAGTGGAACAAGTATAGCCTCTAGTACTGTATCCAGCACAACCTCTGGAGGGAACAGCACAGTCGCTAATACTGGATCGAGCACAACATCTGGTGGGACCAGTATAGTCTTCAACACTGGATCTAGTGTGACTTCTAGTGAAACCAATATAGCCTCCAGTACTAGATCCAGCACAACCTCTGGAGGGACCAGCATAGCTGTCAATACTGGATCCAGCACAACATCTGATGGGACCAGTACAGCTTCCAACACTGAATCCAGTGTGACCTACAGTAGTTCCAGCACAACCTCCAATACCGAAACTAGCACACCCTCTGTAGGGACCAGCATACCTGTCAACACTGGATCCAGCACAACCTCTGGCAGAACTAGTACATCCTCCCAAACTAGACCCAGTGTGACTTCCAGTGGGTCTGGCATAACCTCCAATACTGAATCTAGCACAACCTCCAGAGGGAGTAGTACACCTGTTAACAGTGGATCCAGTGAAGCCTCAGGTGGGACCAATATAGCCTCCAACACTGGATCCAGCACAACTTCTGGTGGGACCAGCATGCCTGCTAATACTGGATCCAGTACAACCTCCAGTGGGATAAGCACAGCTGCCAGTCCTGGATCCGGTGAGATCTCCAGCAGGACCAGTGTAGCCTCCAACACTGGATCTAGTGTGACTTCCAGTGGGACCAGCACAGCTGCCAACATTGTATCCAGTGCAACCACAGGAAGCTCTGGCACACATTCTCCAACTGGAACACACACAACATCCAATGGCACGAGTGCTACAACTCCAGTGAATGAAGTGACACCCAGTGGGTCCCTGAAACCATGGGAAATCTTCCTCATTACTCTGGTCTCTGTTGTAGTGGCTGTGGGATTCTTTGCTGGGCTCTTCCTCTGTGTGGTGAGTGCCTAATATGTAGGAAAGTGCCTGGGGGAAGGAGTAGCAGGAACATAAGGGAGTGGGATATGAAGAGTAAGGTCACCAAGTTGTGGGGTGGGTAAGAAGGAAAGAAATATCAGGGGAGTGTCACTAAAGAAAAGTAGGAAGTTAGGGGTGCCTGGGTGGCTCAGTCCGTTAAGCAACTGACTCAGCTCAGGTCATGATCTCATGGTTCTTGAGTTCGAGCTCTGCATCAGGGTCTGTGCTGACAGCTCAGAGCCTAAGGCCTGTTTCAGATTCTGTGTCTCCCTCTCTCTCTCTCTCTGCCTCGCCCCCCACTCACACTCTGTCTCTCTCTCTTTTTCTAAAAAAAATAAATAAACATTTAAAAAATTTTAAAAAAAGGCAAGAAGTTAGAACTGGAAGAGCCAATCAAAGTGCAATGGGAAACTACTGACTTGTGGAAAAAGAAGGCTGAAAGAAGGAATAAAGTCTAGAGGAAGGAATACTAGGTGAGAGAGATGATATGTAGGGGAAGACGATTACAGAAAGAGTCCATGGTTAAAGCTTGGAACAGGGGGATACAATTCTGAAATGATTCATCCTTCTTTTTCTAGAGATATTCCCTGTCTCTGAGAAACGTCTTTGACACAGCTGTCTACCGTCCCCATGGCCCCAACCTTGGCATGGACCCTGAAGGGTATCACGGAGTCCACTACAGCTCTAGTTGGAGGCCTAACTGGTTCTGGAGGAGACCAGTATCCTCAATAGCCATGGAGATGAGAAGGAGATACAATGGGCCCTGAGTGGCCCCTGAAGCCATAGTGCCACTTTTTTCAAGGAGAAAGTTGACCTGGGAGACCAGAGACTTCAGTGTCCTTTCATTTGTCCCCAGGAGTCCCCTCCCAGCTTTGTTTGGGTCTCTGACAGCCTTGAGGAAGACATTCCCTCTCTCTTGATTTTAACAGACTATGGAAGGAGGAGATTCTGTTGTCATTTAGCTAAGAAATAAACACATCAAAAATATATGACAAAGAGAATCTGTGTGCACATGAGTGGATGTCTACAGTGCTGAATTGAATTTCCCAGTTCTGTGAGAAAGCTCCCATGCCAGAACCCACCTGGCATTCAAAATCTCCACAACAAAATCCAGGGACCTCATTCCTACCTGTCCCCTTTCTCTAATCTTTATTGCCCCAAGCAGGACCCCTGTGTTTCTGAGCCTCACCCAGATTGACAGGAGAATTGAATTGGGAGAGATGAGAAGGGAGGGCAGGTGCCAGGATTCTAAGGACTCACTGTATTAGGTCTCTGGTACACAGAGATTATGTCATGGCACATAGGGAACCCAAAGCATGATGAGGTGGAGAGATGCAATTACATGTGCTGTGGGGCAGGGCATGTTCACTCAAAGTCGTAGTTTCCACGGCATTTAAATTTGCCCTAGACCAGGGTTACTTTTCAGAATGAAGGTGCGAGTTGACACTTTTCTCTTTCACAGTGCTCTTTTCAGAAGCACAAAAGTGAAAGACTTTCTAGATTTATCCTTTCTGGCTAAGGTCTAACCTTTCTAGAGGCTCATGGCAGAGTAACCTGGGGTGAAGCCTGATATTCTCATGAGTCCTCTCCCAGAAGGGCGGCACATATCTCTTTCATGGGTGCAAGGAAGAAGCCTACCTATTTCTACAGGTCTTGGAGGACAGAGGGGAGCTACTTTGGAAGGTTGAGTCTCTCCAAATCCACAAGGCATTGAGAGAACTCCCACCTGGGACAGAGCCCTCAGAGAGAATGAGCAGTTTGTTGGGAGATTCACCCCTACTTATAGTAATGGAAACCGCTCTGCCTTCTAATACTTACTGGATTTCTTTAGTGTCAGCAAACCAGCTCATCCTAATCAATGAGGCCACACTAAGCCCTATGCAGGCCCATCATCATCGTTGTCGTCATCGTCATCATATCATCATCTCATGTAAAGGGATCCAGCACCAGAAGGAGAAGTTGAGGGTTGAGGACCCTGAAAAGGTGCCTCCCACTGGTGTGAACTGTGGAAAGCATACTGTGAATAGAAAATAAATGATAACACTAAGTGAAATCAGGCAATCAGAGAAAGACAAATGTCATATGATTTCACTCATATGTGGAATTAAGAAAAACAGATGAACATAGGGGAAAGGAAGGAAAAATAAAATAAGATAAAAACAGAGGAGACAAACCATAAGAGACTCTTGGATGTAGAAAGTAAAGTGAGGGTTGATGGAGGGAAGTAATGGTGGGGGATTGGTTAAATGGGTGATGGGCATTAAAGAGGGAACTTTTTGGGATGAGCACTGGGTGTTATGTGTAAGTGATGAATCACTAAATTCTACCTCTGAAGCAAAAAAAAAAAAAAAAAAAAAAAAAAAAAAGAACTAAGAAAGAAAGAAAGAGAGAGAGAAATAAAAGAAAAGAAAAATAAATAAAGAAAGAAAAAAGAAATGAGACCAGGCAAGGGAATCCATTTATATAATTAAAAGTTCTAAACATGGATTTTCAAGTTTAAAATTGTAATGGACAAATGGAAAGAGACTGGCCACTGTTGGGAATAAAATCAGTATCCTGGAAGAACAAGTGGGAAAAATAACTCAATTATACACAACAATAAAGAAATGAAAACCATCCAGACAATAGAAGACACTTAGAGAATAGATTTAGGAAGACTAACATGCAAGTAATAAGGTTCAAAACAAAGGAAAAAGAAACAAATAAATGGTTGAGAAGGAAATGAACAGAGAAGAAAGAGAAGAAAGATTTGAATCTGCAGTTGTAAGGGCTCACCAATTACAGCTCTGTAAATATAATAAAAATCATTGACTTACCTATTTTAAACAAGTGAACTATATGGTATGTATGTTCTATCTCAATAAAGCTATTAAAATATTACCAGGCATATAGTTGAAATAAAAATTTTGATTTCCAAAGATAGACAACAAATGACTCAGTGATGGACACTTCAACATGGAGAAAGATGGAAAGGCAAAAAAACATTGTAAGCAATTTAGCTTGTGATTAATTCACATGGTTATGCTGCGAATATCTTACTACTCTCAGAAACTGGATAGGGTGTGTATGTAGAGTTTGGAAGCATCATCAGGCAGCATTCATCATGGAATACACTTACATGGACTACACATGTTTTAACTTGACAAAGCCACAGCTCACCAAGCATGTTTGACCCAAGAAGAGTCTAGGAAGTGGACAGAATTAGTGCTGCCCCTTCTAGATCTCATGCTTTTGTACTGTTGGTCTGGCACAAAGATCTTTATTTTTTAAAAATTTTAAAGTTTATTTATTTATTTTGAAGTAGTGGTGTGTGTGGGGGGAGGGTACAGAAAGAGGGAGAGAGAGAATCCCAAGCAGGCTCTGCACTGACAGCGTGGAGCCTGAGGCAGGGCTCAATTTCACGAACGCTAAGATCATGACATGAGTCAAAATCAAGAGTCAGATGCTTAACCGACTGAGCCACCCATGTGCCCCAAGTACAATGATCTTTAAATGGAGTACTTCCATACCCCTGGAAAGACTTTCTAAAGAATATTATGCAGGCATGGGATATTGTACAGGGATCATTTATCATATCATCTTTTGCCTAAATTGATTTGTCTGAGAAGATCTTTGTGGTCAGAGCATCAGGCTAGTTAGACTTTTCTAACTCCCCCTTAATGACTAACCACCTCTTTTTCCTAGCCCCCATATTATTATGGTGTATTTTTCTGGGGTGTAGAAAGCTCTAGGGTGCAAATAAAGGGATATCTCAAAATTTTTTCTAATTTAGGATCATATACACAGAGTAGGGCCCCTTGCTTCATATAAAATCCTTTTATGGGCTAAATGGAGTATAACAAACTGGCAATTTTAGTATATGTTAAGATGTTACATATACTAAATATACAATATATCTATATTCATATAGATACATTGTAGAGTGAGGTAGCAGGAGTAATAAGAATTTCTGTTTTAATAGTCTTTTCTCTTCCATCCCCTGTCAAAGAATGCATCCTTCTTGACGGAGCATCTCATGAAAGTACAGCAAAGACAGCATCAGTATGAAATAATAAAGGTGGAAGTGCCTTCTTTAACCTAGGGAAAACCCTATGGAAAGTTAACCCACCTTATCTGTGCACCTGCTTATTTTAGAATATTCCAGGTTGACAAAAATTTGCTTGGAAACAGCAACTTATATGTGAAGCATACTTCCCAGGTTTGTACACCATTTTCTTTCAGGAGAAAAAGTGTCCCATTCACCAGTTTCTTGCTTAGGTCACAGGTGTATATTTTATATTATTTCAAAGAAAAGGATGTTACAAACTCCACATTTACTTCCAAATGATTCATGTTACATCTGAGGATGAAAGGAATGTAGAGAAGCCTTATAGCATGTCATCTAAGAACACGGATTGTGAAACTAGTATTTTTGGTTTCTGGTTTGAGCTCAGAGTGACCTTGCACAAGTTCCTTAACTCTTTTGGGTCTCAGTTTCCTCATCTGTAAAAATGAGGGTGATAACAGTACCCATTCCATGAGGTTGCATGCACTTCATGAGTGTATTGGTAGCACTACAAAACTGAAGCAGGAAGAAATAGAAAATTGAAACAGACCATTTACCAGCAATAGTTGAATTAGTAATCAAAAAACTCCCAACAAATAAAAGTCCAGGAGCAGAAGGTTTCACAGGCAGATTCTAGCAATATTTAAAAAAGAGTTAATTCTGGGGCACCTGGGTGGCTTAGTTGGTGAGTCTGACGTAAGCTCATGATTTGTGAATTCAAGCCCCGCATGGGTCTTTCTCCTGTCAGCCCAGAGCCTGCTTCAGCTCCTCTGTCCCCTCTGTCTCGGTCTCTCTCTCTTTCCCTCAAAAATAAACATCAATTCTTTAAATAAGTAAGTAAATAAATAAGAGTTAATTCCTATTCATCTCAAACTATTTCCAAAAAAATAGAAAAGGAAAGAAAACTTCCAAATTCATTCTATGAAGCCATCGTTACCCTGATACCAAAACCACACAAAGACACCACAAAAAGAGAGGACTACAGGCCAATATCCCTGATGAACATAGATACATAGAACAAAATACTAGCAAACTAAATCCAACAATACATTTAAAAAACCATTCACCATAATCAAGTGGGATTTAGTTCCAGAATGCAAGTGTGATTCAATATTTGCAAATCGATCAACATGATACATCACATCAATAAGAGAAAGGATAAAAAACTATATGATCACTTCAATAGATGCAGAAAAAACATTTGATAAAATACAACATCCATCTATTCATGATAAAACCCCTCAACAAAGTAGGTTTGGAGGGAACATACCTCAACGTAATAATGAAATATATGAAAAACCCACAGCAAACATCATACTCAGTGTTGAAAAACTGAAAGCCTTTCCCCTAGGATCAGGAACAAGACAAGGATGTCCATTGTCACCACTTTTATTCAACATAGTGTGGGGCGCCTGGGTGGCTCAGTGGGTTGGGCGTCCGACTTGGCTCAGGTCATGATCTCGCAGTCCGTGAGTTCGAGCCCTGCATCGGGCTCTGGGCTGACAGCTCAGAGCCTGGAGCCTGTTTCGGATTCTGTGTCTCCCTCTCTCTCTGACCCTCCCCTGCTCGTGCTCTGTCTCTCTCTGTCTCAAAAATAAATAAATGTTAAATTTTTTTTTAATTAAAAAAAATAAAAACATAGTGCTGGAAGTACTAGCCACAGCAATTGGACAACAAAAAGAAATGAAAGGCATCCCAATTGGTAAAGAAGAAGCAAAACTT